ACATTTGTGATGTATTGGTTTCCTAAAGCGTGCATTTCTCGCTGTGCACGCGCTGATTGCAGGCAAAGAGAGTAATGGAGAAAGAGAGCACAAAAGCTCTCTCTCACTCTCTTGTCAGTTGTAAATCACTCAATTACCAATGGTTGCGCCGGTGCGCTTGTCAAAACTTATGAGCTTCCCCTGGTTCATTCTGATAGTGTTGTTCTGATGATTAACTCAAGTTTCCTCCCCATGGGACTTAATTAATTTTCTTTAGATTTTGATACTGTTCTGTATCAAAACATGTTTTCGGAAGTGTTTGACGGATATTCTTCATTACACTTCAGTGGAAAGAGTTAGCCTTGTGGTAAAAACGAGAATTAGTTAGGCTTTGACATTCGTTTTACTTCGGTTAACGCGAAAAGGGCCATACAAGTTTTGTTTACACAAGATGATAGGCCCTTCAAATGTTACGTTCGGTAGTGATTAATATAGTAATTGAGAATATGCCCCTCGAATTCATGGAGCATTGAAAAATAAAACAAAAACTAATATGTGGTGGTAAACTATAACGAACAAAGTTTGGTGCACAAGTAAACAAATGAGGCACGCGACGCCTCTGAATGTACCATTGCATGAAGGGCCAAAAACAGAGGGTGGACCCGTAAGCAAAGACACATGATCCACGGGAGCAATTAGAATCTCCTTCCAATAGTAAAAATATTCCAACCCGATACCCAACAAGCAATCACACTAGGGGATGTCTCAATGAGTAAAGAGAAGATCCCACCTTCAATTCACGAAATGTTAACAAAATTATCGAAAGGACAATAGGCAAAAACCAGAAAGTCGAACGACAAAAGGTCGAATGACAAAATGCCGAAGGACAAAAGGTTGAAGGACAAAACGTCGAAGGACAAATGGCCGAATGTTAAAAGGTCGAAGGAAAAAAGATTAAATCAAAAGATCGAAGCGACAAATGATCGAATAGACAAAAGGTCGAAATGAACTTAGAGGAACAAAAGGTCGAAATGGACAAAAAACCAAAGTGGACAAAAGTTCAAAAGACTATCATCAAAATTGACAAAAAAATGTTCAGAACATTTTCGCTAAGATTTTAAAAGAACTTTAAAAAAATAGTATGCAAATACCTCCAATGAATTGTTCACGATTTAAAGAAGGAATATATTCTAGGGAAATGCCGTTATTTGTCTCTTAAATTATCGTGCCATGGACAGGAACTATTTGTAATCATAATTTTCCAAAGAACTGCTCATGGTTTGAAGAATGAAAAACATTGAAGATTTGGCCAACCATTTTATCCGTCAACAATTTTACCAGGTTATCCATTTCTATTATTTGTTCATTCGACCTTTTGTCCTTTCGAACATTTGTCAATTTCGACCTTTTGTCGATTTAAGTTCAACTCGATCGTTTGTCCCTTCGAACTTTTGTTCCTTCGATATTTTAACCATTTAATCTTTTGTCCTTTGATATTTTGTCTTTCGATCTTTTGTCCTTTGATATTTTGTCTTTCGACCTTTAGTTCTTCAATCATTTGTCCTTCAACTTTCTGGTTTTTGACCTATTGTTCATTCGAGCATTTGTTAATTTTGAACTTTTGTCCCTTCGAGCTTTTGTCTTTTCGATCTTTTGTCCATTCGTCCTTCTATGTTAAACTCGACTTTTTGCCCTTTCGACCTAATGTCCTTCGACCTTTTGTCCTTTCGACCGTTTAAGTTTAACTCGACCTTTTCTCCCTTCGACCTTATGTCCTTCGGCCTTTTAACCTTCAATCTTATGTCCTACAACCGTTCAATATAATAATCTAAAGCTAAGACCGATTTTATAAAAAAAAATTGGCACCGACTTCCACACGACCAAGAAGTCCAAGTGGGAATTTGGGAGTATTGAGGTAATCTGCATTAAAAATTGAACATTACCACAAGTCACCATCCTAGCGCCCCTCGGTGGGACTTTGTATAGGAGCGATCGGTCAACCAATAGATTAAAAATTTAAATCTTGATTTATAAATCGAGATTAATGTCTATGGGATCGATAAGAATAGCGTTGTGCTCAGAAAACGAAGCTCTTTCAAACGATGTGCGAAAAACCAGCATGTTTTTCGAAATTAAACAACCTTGCCATTATACTGATTCAATATCGCTATTAGATTCACACACACACACACATATTGTCGGAGTTTGATGCACCAAATCGATCATCTCGATACTATACTTATCCCAATTTTGTCCGACGAAAAGTAGGAAAGTGTCGATTGACCCTTGGAAGCCTCAAAATTGAAGATTTCAGTTCAATTTAAGAAAGTTATTGAAATTCCGCTTTTAACTCCGACAGTAACAACATTAGTGCTTTTAAATGATCCGTGTTTTCCGGAGCAAAATCAATGAATTAGCGTTAAAATTAACTATCAAAAAAATTACGTCGCAGTCAAAGAAGTCTACTTGGTGGAGTTTACCATTTACAGCGTATGAAACGATGTGGAACATTCTCTAGTTAATGGAAAAGCGAAATTTTAGAACAGTTGAATTCAATGCGATTTAGTTTGTACAACTCCGACAACAGCAATGTCTCTGTTACTTTCAACGGTGTCGTAAGAAGAATCGACAAGCAAAAATATGTTGTCGGAGTTGAACAAAATAGCAGATCGCATCACGTTCCAGGATAATTTCAATTGTTTGAATTATTTAAAACCATTTAATACAAACCGATTCCATATCGTCGGAGTGTTAAACAAGGTAGCCACTAGCCATAAGAAGGGTAAAAACGAGCAAAAATCAGGGTAAAAACAAGACCAAATTAAAGAAATGTTTATTATTGAAAAAGAATAGTGATATTGTGCTCTGTCTACGAAATTAGAGGTGTCTAGAAAACAATCGGTAGAATCAGAGATATGCAAGGATTTTCCGAAGCGCTTGGATTTGCTATGAGCTATTTAAAGAACATTAGTAGCAGATTTAGAAAGTCAATCCAGAAATTCCAAGCAACTTTAAGCGAGACCTAGTTAATCGGAAAACAAAAATCGTGAGAGACTTAACACTCCGAACACGATGCCTCCGGTAAAATGTGTAACGGCAAAATAGCAAGGTTTGAAAAATTATTGCTCAGCAATTTATCTATAGATTTTACATCTATTGATACCAAATGAATCTTTAAAGTCTGTAGTTCTAAATGGCGCCAATAGATTTGTAATTGGTCAATAAATGGCTTTGCTTTGATTTTTCAAAGATTGCAAATTTGCCGTTACACATTTTAGCGGAGGCATCGTGTTCGGAGTGTTAAAGGCAAGGGGTAGGTAGCTCCGCACACCAATCTTGGGTCAACTTTATTGCCAGCGTGCCACAAGTGTGCCGCAGGTGTTCCGGCATAGAGCAAGCTGCGATTGATTGTAAAATATCCATCCCGGCAACCCGGTATTTCTGACACCTTGAATGTTTTGGTTTGAAATCGCAAAGATAAATCGGATTGAGGATGACGCGGGAAGTGGCAGGTGTGCAAACATTTGGTGAATTAAGGGTACTAATGGGGTCTGATGAACTGCCTCTTTCTCTTGAGCCCACTCTAGAACCTACATTTCGTATTTAGATCTATAAGTGAACTGCTGGTCTGATTTCCTCTAATATATTCACTTAGAGGATGATCCTGAATATACAGTCAAACAGCACGTAATGTTGTGAACAACTTCAATGACAGTTGTCCAGCAGTGCTGCCATTTTATTTACAACAATCCAATGCCTACGAGATTGTGCCGAAGATATGTCAAAGGTGTGCCGATGGATGCGCCCTAGCTGTGCCGAATCAAATTTCGGCACAATGTGCTGAGTGACTTACCCCTTGCTTAAAGGTCTTGTTGTAGAGCGGTTCTGGGATTAAGACAACGAGGTTTTAGGACTGCTATGAATTACTCTGAGATTCCAAGTCTCTTGACTTCCTGTAAAAGCTCCTTTTGAAATCTTTTGAACTTTTCCCAGGAAGTCAAGAAACATGAAATCTCAAACTAATTCATAGCAGTCCTAACCTCGTTGTCTTAATCCATATTAGGTATATCTAATCAATTCCGCAAACCAAATTAAGACCCACGTGACCTGTCAATTATCCTAAGATCTCTGAACCGCTCTACAGCAAGAACTTTAAGTCTCTTCACGATTTTTCGTTGTTTTTCGATTTTAGTCTCAGCTGTCATTCCATCGTTGCCACTAGGTTATTAGGCATCAAACTCCAAATTGAGACACAAAGCAAAACCCCAAAATTGTCCGTCCAATTCCCCACGGAAAAAAAGAGCCAAAACCCGTTGCGCTCTATTTGAGGTCATTCGGTCACCAGCAGCGTGTGGATGGTCACGACTTCGACGTCTACAATGACGACGACGCTCGCCCCGAGTGCACCCAAGCATGTCACGATACCCAGCCCCTAGGAAAAAATGAACTTAATTCCAATATTACATCACACATCGCGTGCACATGCGAGTTTCGCTTTTCATTTTCGACTGGTTGGGAGGTCCATTTTACAATCGTTCACTCTTCCGTCTTCCTGTGTCCGTGTGCGTGTGTTCATCGAATGTCGAATTTCCTATTCATAATTCGCTTTCAATGCTGCGACCTCCAAAACTCATGAGAACTTCCCGTGATGATGACTACCACCCTCGGCGAATTATTTATGACTTATATTATTATTTGTTACTGCAACTCCCACAAATGCGTTGGACCGAAGATTATTGTGCAATGACGGCAGCAATGCAGCGAGTAAAAAGTGAATTTATGGATCGAAAGCCATAATCGAAGGCGAAATTCAAGGGTTTAGGTATTAGCAAACAGCGATACGGCTCTTTAGATAAAAAGTGTCGCTTGAAGTTGATGACAAACAAAAGATTGTGCGGTGACGTCACAAAACAGACTTGGCGACGAAATTTGTTTAGAAATTTTCTACTGCAATACAGATAGCTCGGATAAAGAAAATATTTGTCGGAGTTGAAAACAAGATCGGCCCCAAATTTCCTCACCTTTAGACTGATGGTTTTCAGCTCTGCCAGCAGATACAGGTCCATGAAGTATTCCTGACAGAACAGACATGCTCCCTTCCTTCTGCCATCTATCGTCGAAGCCTGAAATTAAGAGAAGAAAAAAAAAATTAAAACGAATAAAGTGATTCACTTAATAACCAACCAATTACAACCAATAGATTCTTGAATCACCCATTTGAAAAAAATCCCATCCCAACCGGATAATTTCCCCGACCGCAAATCGGGAACTGATCGACGTGTCGCTCGACAACCGCCGAGCGACATGACTCGGAGTTAATAGCTAATTGCATTTCAAACTCCCCGTCCGTCCGTCGTACATTTGTTGTTGATAATCTAACTATTCGAGTGCTCGTACCACACGAAAAAAAAATAGACATGTCACATTCTTCGGTGTCCGCTTGGAGCAACGACGTGGCGGCTGAGAGTTGAGAAATAGGGCTGCAAAGGAACGAAAAAAAACACTCCGAAGGACGCCGGCTGTTGTGGGGTCGGGTGTCTGATAAGATAAGCATTGCCGTGTGTTGCGATAAATGGCGCGGGAAATAATTTGGTGGAACAATTGCCTGCAATATTGGATTTGAGGGTGGAATTTTCTACTGATTTATTTGATTTTGATGGTAAAATTGCGAAAGTTGTCGGAGTTCGCGTAGCATCGATATTGGGGATAATACAAACGTTGTCGGAGTTCGATAACGAAAAATTTAGGGATGGCAAAAAATAATAATGATAAAGCAGCGGAATCAGGATTGCAAAAGTGTTGTCGGAGTTGATCAGTCAGGTAGTAGGCAAGATTGTGTCAAATCCAAAAATATACTTGTATGTTAGATTCATTGCAATTTGGATCACTTGTTGCCTAAGGAAGAACCCAATGCACTTCCAATGTGATTATTTTATGTTGATAGCAAATGTGCGAAGGAGTTGACATTGTCGGAGTTAAGCCATGACTCTTTAAAGCGAAGCAAGTGTTTTCGGAGTTCAATCTAATCAATCTATGACAAAAGATCGAAGGACAAATGGTCCAATTGAACTTATAGAGACAAAAGGTCCAATGAAATTAGAGAGACAAAAGGTCGAATGAAAAAAGGTCGAATGGACAAAACGTCGAATTGAACTTAGAGGGACAAATAATCGAAGAGACAAAAGTTCGGATGAACAAAAGATAGAATTGAACTTACAACGACAAAAGGTCGAATGGACAAATGTCGAATTGAACTTAGAGGGACAAATGATAGAAGAGACAAAAGTTCGAATGAACAACAGGTAGAATTGAACTTACAGGGACAAAAGGTCGAAGGTACAAAAGGTCGATGGGACAAAAGGTCGAATAGAACTTAGATTACCTAGAACATCTAGTTAAATGTCTTTGGAATTCTCTTCAGAGTCTTCTTAGAATTATTCCTCTTCAATCCTTCTCAAACATTATTATCAAAATTCTCTAGACTCTAGACTTCAAAGTGTTAAAATTCCAAAATGTTATCCAAATTCAAGAGTAATGTTTTTTTTAAATCACGGGCCTTGAAAATTGCACCGTATTTAAAAAACTGACTAGCTTCTGAGCTGTTCCAGGCAAACTGAAAATGGATTTTGAATTGACCATCTCCATTTTGTATGAAACTTTGCCTAATTTTTTGTTATGATTCACATTTTTGCTAAAATTCAGCCATTTTGGATCTTGTAAAGTTTTCAAAATGGCATCCTTGAAATTTTTCAAAAAAATTTAGCATGGAATCCGCATTACTGATTGAAATGACAAAGTTTTAGAGAAAAATAAACAAATATGTTTATTATTTATTTTGAGTATACATTTAAAAGAAAAATGTAAAAAACCCAAATTTATCAAAATTTTGACCGATTTTGATTTTTTTTTCAAAAAAAAAAGGCTATGAAAATGCAAAGTTTTAGGATGTTCCTGGACACTTGAAATCTGACAAAAATCGGAAAACAAAAACTTTTGGTCAAATTTTTGTATTTTTTTTTCTTAGAGGTCGAGTTTTTCCGATTCGTCATTTGGCATGCTATTCTCCTCTTTAAAATTATTCCATAAAATCATCAAGAAAAAATCTTAATCCGAGGTGTGAGATGTCATTTCAGCAATGATGTTTTCTTAAATAATTTCTAAGTTCAATCTATTACTTGAACATATAAATTCTTTCTATACGATTTTATGACCTATTCGGCTGTGTAGCTTCGGCCTAGTGGACTTTTAAACATATTTTGCCGTTTATATGAAACTGAAAAAAAAATACGTTGGGCACCTGGTTGAGTCTTGGAAGCCTCAAAATTGAAGGTTTCAGTTCAATTTAAGAAATGATTGACATGCAGCTTTCAACTCCGACAGCGCTTGTAAATGATCCGTGTTTTCCGGGGCAGAAGTCAAGCCAAGCAAAATTAATGTACTAGTTTTAACGTTAGCAGCCAAAACAAAATGATGTCGGAATGATGTTTTAATCTTTACTCTTCAACTCCGACAGAGTTTTTTTTTATGCTTTATAAACGTGATTTTTAGCCGTTGGCTAGTTCATCGCGGACCGACAATGAGTGCTACGTGTCATTCGGTTTAATGATCTGCTTTATATTCAAAACAAATTATATGGGCGTAAATCAGGCACCTTTCCCCACCGTATTGTTGCTTTCCTAGCAGTTAAATGTTGTTAATACATACATATATGAAATTTGAAAAAGTTGCGATTATTTGAAATTAACATTTAACTCCACAAAAGTGCTTTGATATCGGTGAGAAAGCAAAGATCTTGAAAGAAATTTCAACTCCGACAACAGTTTCTTGTTTTTTCTGATCCAGAATCTTAATTGTTTCGAACTGTGTACAACTCTAAACCGTCTCTTTTCTTCAACTCCGACAAGGATTTTTTATTTCTGTGTTTTTTTGGTACCTTCTTAAGCTCCACCAGTAAAGGCTCAGCTACAAATTAGAACCATTCTTGGGATGGCAGGCTTGATTTTTCGAATTGTACAATTTCTCGGCTTTTATTGTTAACAATATTTTTCAACGCTTAATTTTATTATGCCCTTTTACAAGTAAGCAGGCTCGCGGCATAATCAAAGAATGGATGCGGTGTCCTCATCTATTTATCCCAGAGGGCAGAAGAGGATCGCAGAACCTTGGGGAATTTCTTTTCCTTTTAGCGGTGTCCAAACCTTTGTATCCCAAGTTGGGCAGGAGAGGATCGCAATCCAAAGTGATTCTTTGATCGAAAGTATCTGTCTTTATTAATCAACCGCTGGGGTTTATATACGGAGTTATTGTCATAATACATTTTATAATTTGTTGCATTGGCATGGTGTGATTTATATTTAATTACTGTAGGCAAAGTGAGATGCCTATAACGGTATGTCAATTCTATGTTTGTTTCATTGGTGTCAATGTGCTTGCTAGGCTATTAGCGCATTGAAAGATGTAACATGATCCGCGAATTCGGGTTCGCTGTTCTGGGTGTAGGAAAGGTAAATGAATAATTCTGTTTGTCAAGGCTATGTTAGAAGTGAACGCTACTGACGTGAGTGCAATTGCATGATATGCATTTTTCTGTCTTATCGGCAAATTTAGTAAGTTCAATTCTTACAGTGGTGTAAATGATTTAAGCTACATATGACAATTTTAATCCAAATTCTTCAACTCCGACAAATTAAATATTGCAGATAGTTTTAAATTTTACAGTGTCTTACAAGCGGTGGATACTCAAAAACTGTTGCATAATTTTTGGGTGAGTCCTAATCACAAATTTCAAATACTGTACTCCGACAGGTTCGTTAGAAATGTTGTTTGGTTTTTGTTTTTTGTACAATCGATTTTTTTTGTTATTAAAGTCTGATTAGATGTATTTTCTAATCCACCCTTGTTTACTGCGACCAGAAAAAAAAATAAGCAGCTGCAAAAACTCCGACAATATATTATCGGTACATATGATCGGTTTGTTTTACATGATTTTCAATTATTCAAACAATTGAAGATGGCCTTTTGTCCATTAAATCTTTTGCCTCTCTAAGTTCACTTTTTATCAATTTCGGCCGTTTGTCCATTCGACCATCTTTCAATTTTGACCTTTTGTCCAGTCGAGCTTTGTCCATCAAAGTTCAATTCAACCTTATGTCCTTAGATATTTTGTCTTCCGACCTTTTGACTTGCGACATTTTGTCCTACAACCGTTCAATAGTTAAAGTTAGGAGCGAAATTATAAAAAGACAATTGACACCGACTTCCAAACGCCTACGAAACCCATAATAATACGAATATATGACAAAAGGTCGAAGGAAAAAAGGTCAAAGGACAAAGGGTCGAAGAACAAAAGGTCGAACGACAAAGTGTCGAATGGACAAAATATCGAATTAAACTTAGAGGGACAAAAGGTCGAATTGAACTTAAAGGGGAAAAAAGTCGAATTGAACTTGGCGAGGAAAAATGTTGAAGGGACAAAAGCTCGGGGGACAAAATGTCAAATTAAACTGAGGAACAAAAGTGCGACGAGACAAAAGGTCGAATTGAACTTAGGTGGACAAAAGGTCGAAGGATAAAAGATCGAACGACAAAAGGTCGAATTAAACTTAGAGGGACAAACGGTCGAATTAAACTTAAAGGGGGAAAAAGTCGAATTGAACCTGGCAGGGCAAAAGGTTGAAGAGACAAAAGGTCGAATGGACAAAAGGTCAAATTTAACTGAGGAACAAAAGGTCGAATGGACAAAAGTTCGAAGGAACAAAAGTGCGAAGAGACAAAATCGAATTGAACTTAGATGGACGAAAGGTCGAAAATGACAAATGATCGGATGGACAATAGGTCAAAAAACACAATGTCGAAGGACAAAAGGCCAAAGTACAAAAGGTCGAAGAAGAAAAGGTTAAATAGACAATTTGTCAGATAACTTGATTCGAGATGTCCTTGGAATTTCCTCGAAATCCGCAGAATTTCATTGGAATTGTTCCCTCAAAATTCGATTCGCTTGGTATTTTTCACGGAATTTTCCACAGAGCTACTTACAAATTTTACTGCGAACTCTCAGAATTGACTTTGAGTTTTTGAGTTCTAGACAAAACTTTCGCAGAGTTCTTCCCAAAACTTCATTGGA